CCACATCACTCGATCTCTATGGTGGCTGTTCGGTTCGACGTGTCCTCTCCTTCCCGCACCTTTGATCAGCGTGGTTAGCCACGTACGTCTGGTGCGAAAGATGTTCAACATACATTCAAACAATCCGTCACTAATCTTGTCCATCGGCAATCATCCCTTCTGGCAAGTTGCACTGCCTAAGCCCACTTAACTTTTTATAACGATGAATATGATTCACTCCGATTTGAATGTGTTCTCTGATCCATGTGCTCTACTTTCTCTTATTGTAAGTCTGGAAAAGCATCTCTCCACATTGTTTGGAATGTTAAACTACATAAATCGAGAAAGCATACGTTTGAAATGTAATTTTATATTTCTTCTTGAAAAAATCGAATATACACTAAAGCCTACTGTTGTGCATGCAGTGTCTCTAATGCCTGCAAAGATCACTAAAACGCAAGACACAAAACGTACAGCAATCACAAATAATGTATTGTCCCCCACACGATTCAATGCATGCATCGTGAACAGGAGAATTAATTTCATCTGACATCGGTGGCGAGTCACATCCGAACTGATCCCAGGCCGCCCGTTCGGCCAACCCACAGTGCCCAGCGCGGCAAAAAATCGTCAAACAACCCGCATGACCGAAATGGCATTGGGGGGGCCTTCATACAGTAGTGAATTGACAAAAGGCTGTAAATTATTATTATCCAAGCTTCTTCACAGATAAGAGGAGTGACTAAGAAATGGTGGCAAATTCATCCTGAGTTCACATTTATTCACACTTTGCCACTCAGGGGCGCCGCGGTGGCGAGATGTTAACTACCTCACCTGGTATACAGGAGGTCGTGGGTTCCATCTCAACCCTAATCCGTGTACATATGGAGTTTGCATATTCTCCCTGTGATGTTGATTTTTCTCCAGTTTCCCTTCCACATTTAGAAACATGTGTTTAAGAATGTGGCTGCTATACATTTGCACATGATAAGACACTTTGTTGAGCTTTAATTTGCGGCCAGGTCGCTTCTAAAAAATAACTAAATAGCTCAGTGGGCCTTACACGGTAAAACAAAATAGTTTGCAGTTTCGTTTAGACAAAAGTAGAAACACGTTCACAGATAAACAGAGAAAACAGAGCCATCTCCCCCCCCTCTACCCCATCAAATTGGATAAGAAATGTTCAACCGCGCAAACGCTACCAAAGGACATACCTGCCCAATAACAAAAATCAGCCCGGCCGATCCAGCTTGAAAGCAGGATTTGCCGGCAAGGCGAACGCGGCACGACCCAACGTCGCGTCCGTTCGTGTCCGAGCCGGTCGTTACCCGGCAGCGTGTGGCCACACGCCACCGCCATTCGCGGCCGTGGCACGCGCAACGCCGGCACTGTCGGCTCTAATTCCGCCCTTCATTGCCTCTGCACAGAAGCCCCCGCCCCCCCCCCGTCTCCCTGCCCAAGGGCCACACACTGTCCTGGGCCACACGCCGGAACAGCGCCGCTCGGCCCTGCGAGGGACAGCGGCACGAGGAATGGCGAACGACGGTTCGATTGGGGGCAGAGCCCTCGTCAGTGAGCATCCCCGCCTCGACGATTCCTGACGATCGGCAATGCCGCTTGCCACACAGACCTGGGGGTCGATTGCGATTGCGAGTGCGTCAGTCATAGCAGAGGCGCGTTTAAAAAAAAAAAAACACAAAAAGGTAAAAGATGCGCACCCCGTGCAGTTGCTTGCTCACAACACTGCTGGCAGGAGGGGGCTCTCCACTGGAGTGAATTCCAGACAGCCCACGCGTTGGTATTTAAGCCTCCTCTACCATGCTGGTCAGACCTCTTAGAAGGATATGGGAAGGCCCATGCTTTACCCCACAACTCAACGGCCTGCCAATGGACAAACTGCGGTGGACCTATTACACTGCTGGGTGGACAGTGAGAGGGAAAGGGATGCACCGTGAGGAAACTCACCCGCGCGGAGTGGATAACACCCAACGCTCCGCACGGATGTGTTCAAGAATCCTTTGCTGTGTCGCCACCTCATGGCCACCTCGTAGCTCAGTCCTACCAGGCTGATGATTCCCAGGCAAGTCTTCCATCAAAGTACTAACCAGGCTCAACCCTGCTTCACTTCTGAGATACGGCAATATCGGGCACACTCACGGTGATCTGCCCACAGGTGTGTACACTTCAAGTAAATACAAAGACCCCCCCATATAGCCTCAACAGACTGTAGAGACAAGTGCTGTTAGCGAGCATCTATGAAGGCCGGCACAGCACACGAAGGGATGAGTGGCCAACACCACGCCCGAATGCTTGTCTCGCTTGTACTAATTTGAGGCTGCGTCGACCTAGGGGTGGCCCAGGACTGGTTGAGATAATAATCACTGGTGTTGGCCGTGAGCGGGAATTGAACTCGGGTCACCAGGTTTGTAGCTTCAACTCCCACTAAGTAAATGCACACACACACACAAGCACACGACGCTCTTGGCACAAGTGGATGGACATGCAGGCCACATGCCCCAAACAATGTATCCTTATCCTGCCAAATACATTAAATGATAAGCAAGGTTTCTATCCAAATCTTTCGAGTTTCTGTGAGCTCCTCAAACATTCCAATGCGGATAAACCCAGTTGAATAATATAAGGTTGTCATTTATTTATAGCCGCCCTCCTTGTCGCCGGGGCTTCTAAAAGCACTGTACACGCGATAAAGCCACTCACACCCCATCTAAAACATTTTAAAAGGGCATCCCCCCCAGTGGCAGCTTTCCCTGTGGGGCACAAGGTGACTGGCGTGTGAGGGGGCATCAATATGCCATTCAGGGGGGACGAGGATTGCCACGTGAAATCCCAATCGAGTCATTTACCGGTAATTTTTTTTTATTTTAGGCAAATTTGGACCACGACGCCGGTATCACAATGGCCTGCTCATTTCAAATTAAGTCAGCGGCACGGTTATGGCATCTTCCACTTCCCCCGACCGCTTCTGCCAATATTAACCGCCAGTCTCAGTCGGTTTGTCTCTAATTACTCGCCTCTTGTTTAGTCAATTTCGCGTGCTGCCCCGTGTCGCTCTTCTCCTCTCCGTGAAGCCCGCTCTGAGCATTCCGTCGCCTGTCGTGACCCTCGCGGCGAATATTCCAGTTTTTCAAGCCTGTCCATTTCCCCCGCGTTTCTCTGCGCCGGAGCGAGCGTCTCTGCTGCGGTCTCGACTGCGGCCGATCCCCAAGGAATCGGAACATAAAATGGGAAAGGGCGCCGTGGTGGCGAGATGTTGACTCCCTCGTCTGGTATGCAGGAGGTCGACGGTTCGACCCTCATCCGGACAGCTGCTGTATATTTGGAGTTTGTCTCTCTCCGCGTGGACGCGTAGACTTTTCTCTGGGTCCTCCGGTTTTATCCCTAAACATTTAGAATCAACGTGCGTTGAGAGTATTTGGCTGCGATACATTTCCATGTGATAAGCCCATTCGTTGGGCTATCATTTGTGGCCATGTTGTTTCCGAAAAAGAGTTACATTGTTCAGTGGGCCTTACCTGGCAAAATAAAAAAAATAGTTTATGGTTTAAAGTGCATAATCATGCGAGTAGCCTACTCTATTCCTCATTCCTTTGATGGTAATAAATAATTCACGACAAAAAAAATGGGGGGGAAAAAACAAATGTAAACTTTAAATAAATAAACCTAGAACTTAAACAGAAAGGCTAAAATTATTCAGACCCATCACAATGCAATCAATTGTTGTGATCCCGAATCACGATTCAGTGAAATAAATATAGCAATGTTTTGTTAACGTTGTGGAGAATGGAATAAAAATTAAGTCAATGGTGAGATTAGAAATGAAACACAGAGACAAAGGTCGGAAAAAGAATATAGAAAATAGGTCGGAAAGTTTCACGCCAACTCATGAACTCTGCAGTGTCCCATCCTGTGCATCGGTGATGATCATTCGAGTGATACAACCGCACAGAGAAACATTGAGCAGGTCCTGACATGGCTGAAGTATGAATGTGGGGCATTAAAAAAAACAAGAGAGGGGGGAAAATAGCAGGAAATCCTGTTCGCACATGTCCGTGTATCCGTGCTTCCTTTGGATGGCTTTTACCCAAATCGGCATTTCTTTTTTAAAAAAAGTTACCACAATAACCAACTATCCAGATTCCACCATCTGCCAATCAACAGATAAACAGCGTTTTTTTTTTAAATAACATGGGAATCAGAGCGATCCAAATGTCTAATTATACATGTAGAGCCCTTAAATTTTGATTTAAAGCTTTCGTGACTGCAGTAATTCATATTCTTAGTTCTTTCGGTAAAGTCACGTTGAAGGGAAACACTAAAATAATAAAATATATATATAAAACTATATAAATTATTTACCGAAAGAACTATGAATATGTAGAGCCCTTATTTGTAAATCCACTGCTGGATGCCGTGCCGATTACGGGGAAGGTTATGTGACTATACCTCACCACACTGGTTCAGTGAATTGACAAAGAAGTGGTGGCACAGTGATTAGCACGGTTGTGCTGTGAACCAGGAAAACCGCCGAGTTCAATTACCGGCCACAGCTAACATCTGTGACATTTTAACTAGGCATGGCTGCCCTCTTCCCCGACCCGCAACTGACCAGCGCAGTGTATTTATGTACGTTGATCATATTTTGCACCGTACGTCGCCAACCGTGCTTATCGGAGGTGTGGGGGGGGGGAGGGCAACAAACTAAACACGAAAAGCAGTTTAAAAGAAATTCGCTGTTAATCTCGATGATTTAAAAGTGCAATCGCTGCAGGGGCTTCCTAATATCGGAGGGAAGAGTGTTCCAGACGGCCGTAAACGCGCATCTGAAATTGCGCGATGCAGTGACCGCAATCTTGGGTTGATCGCTAGCCAATAGCCGCTGCTTGCGAGGATGACCGGACCGGTGACATCTTGCCAAACAACCCCAGTAACCGATGTGGCCTGTAGACAGACGACGGCTGATGATGATGAGAGTTGAATAACGTGGAGCAGTGCACACTCACCGGTGAGTCAGTCTGCACGGAAGCAACGGTTTGAGTCAGTCGTCCGTCGCATTAATTTCTGCGGATAGACAAAAGTGCACCGTTTGGTTAAAACCGGCGAGGAACGAACTTGCGACATTCAAATGAAAGCCCAAATTAACTTAAAACACAATTAGTGGGTGATACTGCTGCGTTGGCAGTAGTGCAAAAGCACACAAAATCTGTCATTTGTTAATACGACTGTGGTCTTAAAAAGGAAATATATATTTTTCCTTCTCTTCAACCCCCCCCCAGCTCCGTACTTCACCGAGAGGGTGATCCGAGTTAAGGAAGTGGACACCAGGGATGTAGAATTTATCGAAACACATGGCAGACAGGTTAAAAATATAAAACGTTGGTAGTAATAATGATTGTACTTCGCATTACGTCTAAACTGGCATTAATTCCCATACATGCCCCTTCTGTGTGTACCGGAATCATTTGTTCAATAAAATGGTGTTGGGAAAAAAGGAAAAATATAGAACAGGCAGGATATTTTAGAGCTTTGGCCCTTCTTCATAGCACTTGGATTAAGAGGGCAGATAGAGTACATAATAATAAGTTGGAGACTGCACTTCACCAAAACGTCACCTATTATACAGGGGCGGAGCCAGGATTTTGACTTTGGGGGGGGGGCTGACTTCAATATTGTGAGATATCCAGTGGTTATGTTTTCCAATGGGCGCCACAAATGTATAAAACAAATTTTATTGGACTTGAACGCAGAGTTTATTAATAGGTCGGAGCCGCTGATGTGGCTAATAAGTTCGATAAGTTCGAAAGGCTGCCGCTCAAGCAGCCTGCAGGGCAGCACGAGGTGGCAGCCTGCAGGGCAGCACGAGGTGACAGCCTGCAGGGCAGCACACAAGGTGGCAGCACAAGGTGGCAGCCTGCAGGGCAGCACACAAGGTGGCAGCCTGCAGGGCAGCACACAAGGTGGCAGCCTGCAGGGCAGCACACAAGGTGACAGCCTGCAGGGCAGCACGAGGTGGCAGCCTGCAGGGCAGCACACAAGGTGGCAGCCTGCAGGGCAGCACACAAGGTGACAGCCTGCAGGGCAGCACACAAGGTGGCAGCCTGCAGGGCAGCACACAAGGTGGCAGCCAGCATTTTGCAGCAGCCGGATATCCGGTCATCCCGATTACCGACTTTCCCAAAATTTCAGGGGGGGCTGAGCCCCCCCCCAGCCCCCCTGTGGTTCCGCCCCTGCTATTATATATTTAGCTTTTAAGGCACTGTTATTGCCAAATGAACCCACATCATTCACTAGATTAGCCTGAAGCCAAAATGAACTCACATCATTCACTAGATTAGCCTAAAACCCAAATAAACTTACATCATTCTCAAGATTAGCCTAAAACCCAAGGATACATGTGCATCTGTATCATACAAAAAAAACATCGGCTTGCACATGTGCATTTATGATTAACAACATACCACACTCACCAGACGATACATCTCCATGTTTGTTTCTGCTGAATTAAATAATTATCCTAATTTACAGCCTATTGTTGATCTAATCAATCATTAAGCTGGTGACCAACACTGGGCCTCAACGTCTCAAAAAAACTGACAGATTTCCCACGTGGGGGGGGGGGCAGCAGCTCACAGGATCATCCTCACAACAGGTGGGGGCGATCCTGGGAAAACCAAGGGCAGGTGGCAGCCCTATCTCGCATACAATACCCGTAACTCGATGTGTAAACCAGAGGTGGAAAACGTGAAAACAAACCCTGCCACTCTAACCCCTCGGGCAGATCAAAAAGCAGACCCTTTGGCTGTGCATTGGAATAAGATCGGAAAGATAGCGCGTCACAGAAAGCATGCCCACAGCCTTATTTTCTTGAGCCAAGTAACGTAAATGGAGACAATAACGAGCTGGGCTCCACAACAACACAATGGCCATGGGGCATCTGGGTGCCCCAGGGGAGCTCCAAGTCAATTAGGTGGCAATGCTGAGCACGCTGTGATGATGACCCAGGACAGAGAAACACAGGCGAGGGAATGCCAAGTCACTTATCTTCTCTCTAACTCCCCACGTGCCAGGGTCCCAAATGAGAGTTTAAGGAAGTGGCGCTTGGGCAGGACCAACGTCACGGCTACAAAGGGATGACGGCCGACGGTGGTATGTATGCATTACGTTGAACTTCCTTCGGAACCGTGCGTAGCCAACCGCGCTCATCGGAGGTTGCGGTCAAAAAAAATGTACGGATTGGCAGCCAAGCGACGGAACGCAGCCAAGCAATGGGACGCGTCCACCGAGGAGATGGAGCGGTGAATTCAGCTCGTGCGCAGGCACTGGGTGGATTACTATACTGCGGGGATCGTGAGAGGTGGTGGAAGCTTTGAGAGGTCTTCATTTAGCAGTGGACTGACCATGGCGAATGATGATGATGATGATGCCATGGAGATGCTCTGTTCAAGAGCCCATAATAATAATAAAAACTCGCACGTAGCAAGCACGTTTTTTGGTCATCAGCCATGATCAATATGCTCCTGGATGAAGACCTCCCAAAGCCGTCGCCATAGCTTACAGTTCTGCCATGGAATGCTCCACCTAGCACTTGCGTACAAGCTGATTCCATCACTCCATCTCCACCCGTGGTTGTACCCTCTCAGATACATAAACTTTGGTGGGGGGAAAAGGCGGAAATGTCGGGACAATGGAACTCTTTTACCCCGGCAGTCAAATATATCGACTACGGCAAAGAGATGCGTTTAGCACCGATATATGGGGTCACCTACCCCGCCAGTCAACACCACGAGACCGGCACTCGCTTGACCCCCCCCCAACCCCCACGCACCACCCCCTCATCTGAGTGACTAAAGCCACGCAATGCACAGCGAGATGTTGAACTTATTTCGCACCGTACGTAGCCAACCGTGCTCAACGGGGGTGCAGGGGAAGGACAACAAACTAAACACAAAAATCAGTTCTGAAGAAATTAGTTTTAAAACTAAACTAGGAAACTTTTTATTTTATTTTACAAGGTAAAGCCCACTGAACTATATAGCTCTTTTTCAGAAGCGACCTGGTCACAAATTATATCTCAACGAAGTGGCTTATCACGTGGACATGTACAGCTGTGAAATCCTCTAAACGCATGTTTCTGAATGTGTGTGGGGGGGGGAAATCCGGAGGACCCAGAGAAAAGTCCACGCAACCACGGGGAGAACACGCAAACTTCAAATATACAGGCATCACAGGGTCGGGATCAAATCGGTGACCTCCTGCACACCAGGCGAGGGAGTTAACATCTCACCATCGCGTCCACGTTCTAGCGCCTCGAGCCAACGCGGTGTCGAGGAGGCATTCGTTTCACGTTGTGCAGAAGCGCAATTGGTTGCCGCAGTGTGGCATTGATGTTCCCCCGCGCACATTCAACATTTCCCCTGCACGGTATCCACGCTGCAGACTGCTCCGTCTGAAAGGTGACCCCAGGGATTGAGAACCCAATGGATTAGCCAATTACAATGGAACCTGTCCCATCCACGCGCACGCACGCACACATGCACTGAAAACCCCCTGCTAAAACTGAACACCCTTCCATGCAAACACATGGACGTGCTCTTTCCGTGACAAAGCGGCGAGTTAAACCCTGGCCCGACAACGCACACCCACAATGGGTTTTAAAGCAACTGTTTGTTCAACCCGATTCCTTTTTAGTGCCAAAAACAGCTGGCGAACAGGCGCTGTAACTGCAAGATAAGTGGGGCTCGGAACGACTCTTGGCAACCTCCCCCACCCCACACACACAGACAGAGCCACCCCCACCGCGATAGGGAAAGAGATAAGAGACTGTTCTAAAAAAAAGAGGGTAGACAAACTCCTTTGCTTACTTTTAACGCTTTTCCAACTAAGGTTGAATGGAAGCGTTTATGCATTTTTCATTGTTGTCCAGTCCCCCTTGCACCTCCGATTAGCAAGGTTGGCTAGGTTGGCTACTGTACGGTGCGAAAGAAGTTAAACAAACACATACAGTAGACTTTCGATTATCCGTGTGCGGTTTATCAGATTTGCGGATTAACCGCGCACCTGAAATTGTGTTGCAAATTAATTACTCACGGATGTTCCTTTAAGCCCAAATTAATAATCTAAAAAAGGTTATGCATTGTTATTCTGGGAAATGTTTATTACAAGTCACGTGCTTAAACCAAACAAATATATTGCTCAGGTTCATCTGAAATCCACGTGATCGCCTCTACAGTACGGTAGTTGCATAGCTTTACAACAGCGGGCGGTGTTTGTTTGATGTTGATTGGCGTGGCTCCGCTATCCGTTTAGTGGGCGGAATCTTCTACGCGGGAGCAGGAAGGTGTTATCACTGAGCCCGCGCATCGATCGTTAGTATTCATTCTTAATTTATACCTATATTAGTGGTTTTTCGCATAGAGATCCACGGAAAAAGGATATTCTTGGATTAATCCGCGATTATGAATTATCCGCGGCCGTCCTCCCCGTCATTAGCGTGGATAATCGAGAGTCTCCTGTACATAGATTAGCTCTGTTGTCATTTCCGGATGCAAGGCGGCGGGAGGCGGGTGGGGAGGGAGGTGAACAAGATAACTTCCGTAAAGATGATCCGGTATGAAGGGAACTTTAGTATAAAGTTGCCCTGCTATTAGGCATCCACCCTGTAGTAAAAAAGGGTTGTCATAAACTTCGAAACACAAGCCACAGCAGAAAGCACTATTTGTAAATATTTGTAAATAGTGCATCTTGGAAGCATGACTACGACTGCCCACGAAAGCACGACTATGCTGGGGACGTGACGTGACGAACGAATGACGTTGCTGAATGACATCAAACTGCTGGGACGAGACGAACGGACAAATGAAGGATGCAAGTTGAGGTCATTCAGCAACGTCATTCAAGACTGGAGTGCACCGTAGAAAGGCCAAACATGGTACTATGAATGTACCGTATTTCAAAAGACTCACGGAGTTCACCGATTGACAAGACCTGATAATATCTGGTGATGCTGCGTTGGCAGTGATGCAAACTTAGATGCTTATTCATATGCCTATTTAAAAACTGATCATCATAAAAAATATATTTCAATTTAATTCTCATAAGACTCCAATGGTGTTAAGTTCAGTCTACAACTCTCTTGACTTCTCCATTCATGCGCTACGAAGTAGGGCCACTGGCCGAAAAGTCAACCGGTTTTATATAGTTTAATTTAACAAAGTGTTACTGACGAACGTGTCGGGTTTCGTTGATTATATCGGGGGCATGGACGGAGGCCAATTGCGTGCACCTCACACCGACATAAAATGACTAAGAGTGGACTAAATGTTTGACTGCTCGAGCCAAATGGACTGAGAGAATAACTCGATGCAATCCGCCGGCTTACACTCTGGCCAAAACTTCCGCCGGCTGTCATCGACTAGACTCGGACTGCTACTCGAATAAATAAAAACTGCTGACGCGATTAACACTGCTCAGGTAAACCCCAAAGCCAACAGAAACAGGAAGAAGAACAAAGCGATCCATTCTGGGCCAGAACTTTTGTTTTGTGGGCAACGGCAAGACAACAAGGGCTGCATTTTTTTACGTTCACTGCGGAGCCCTCGTTCACTGTAAAGAATCAAGCGGACCTTTGAGCCGACGAGCCCCACACACACACACAGCGAGAGCCGACGGAGACTAACGTCACCGCGGAAGCCCGTGGAACGGCCCCGGGTGACCCATTTAGAACGTGTGCGCACACTTAGCGGGCACGATGCGTTTTGCAAGGGATGTCACTTCGCCACGCGCCTGCTATCCCCGCAGGACCAGTACTTATGTGTGTTGAACTACTTGCGCGCCGTACGTAGCCGACCGTGCTAATCGGAGGTACAACAAAAAATTACGCAGAAAAAGCGGTTCAAAAGGAATGAGTTTTCAATCTAGATTTAAAATAAAGGTGGCATGCAACCAAGTTGCACAGCTGACCGCTCAGGCGTGAACCTGACCTAACATAGCCTGTACAAAATCACCAGCTCATTGCCCTTATTAATTACTATCATTATTTTATTAACATCTATATAGCAAACCTCTACACCTCATTAGAAATTAATATATTCTATTTTAGCAGGTGAGAACAGAATGAGAATTGTTTCAAGTGTCAGTTTCATGGGGTGACCTTTGTAAACAAGCGATAACTGATACAGCCAGCACGAGGCAACACCGCTTCCACGGTTCGTAAAAAGAGTGGTCGATCACACGCCACATTACCGGATTCACATTTACAACGTTCGCCGATTATATTCTTGTTATTTACACCTGTTGACCCAGAAAAGCCTCACCGAGTGGTGTCCCGACTCTTTCAGGAGAGTCCCCTGCCAAATTTCCAAGAAGGGGGGGGGAAGATGCTTTCGATGTCAATTACAATAGAGTCATTTGCGAGTAATTCTCAAACAGCAGGGGAATCAAGCGGCACGTATTTTAAGGTTAAGAGACGTGCAGTATTAACCAGGGCAGCCGCTGGATTCAAAAACCGTGAAACTCTGCGACAAGCGGGGAACGCCCTGCCCGCTGAGCCACAAGAGCGCCTGGTGAAAATAATGTTTGGTTGTTCAGGTATTCAAATCGAGTGATAATGTATTTTTTTTTACACGGTTTTATTTAACTCACTCGATCTGTTGTCATAGCCTCAAATCTTGTAACTCAAATTGTAACCCACTTCCCAATGTGGTATCGACTGCAAACGTGGTATACTTATGTCATACTGATGACAATACTATATTCTATCATAGAAAATTAAAAATATATTTTTTTAAACAATCTTTTTTATATGTTATGTTTCGGCTTGGGTCTAATTGTCCACGCTCAACTGACGTTGGCTGTAAATCACCACGGTCCCCTTACGTTGTGGAAAGCTTCGGGGCCACTTCCTGGAGTCGTGGAGTTCTGCAATTACTCGTACGGTACATTTAATTAAAGCGTGTTTTTTTTAAGTATTTTTAAATATTACTTATTTTATGGTGACTTGGCCGAGACTATTGGTCACAGGAGAAAATTAAGTTGAATATGCCCATTACATACAACGTATAGGAATGAATAAGGATCTACTCCCGACACTTGCGATTCCATGCGTACATCACGAGCTTCATAACATATATTAACGGATGACTCAGCGCATCGTGACACCTCTACGCAGCATGCACAAAAGCAAGCTCTTGTTCCGCAAAGTCACACTGTAACCTTCATGTTCTGTGCGTTAGCCTCTTCTCCATTCCGTTATTTTGACCCGATCTAATTGGTTTGGCTGATGCGATCACACTCATCGGCTTGGGGAATGTTATCTTACACACGGCCTCTTTATAAACTGTGTCTCTGCTATTCCACTGCTGGACTCATAAAACTTCAAATGACCAAGGAGATGAAAAAAAAGGGACCAAACCTTGTCACGTGGAAAGACAACCGGTTTTTCTGTCCAGGAGCCATCTGAGTGACCCGGGGTTCAGATGCTTATCTCCTGAGTTCAGAGAACAGATAAAAAAAAACACACTGAGAGAGGTCACTTAGGAGTATCCCGAACAACAGCAGCGGGAGCATCGATTAAGCAGCTTGGCTCCACTTCGCAGGTTTTCGTGGTGTAAAAGCTCTCCAATGAATTACCCGGCACGTGGGGAGGAGAAACGTCCGGACGTAATGCCGAAGAACACGCAGGCTCACCCGCGAAAATACACCGGGGAGCTCGGCACTGATGTTAAAGTTTCACATGGCGAGGGTGAAAGATCAAGCTTCATCACCGATGACGGTAACACCACCCTCACCCTCGTAAAGAATCGTGTCAGAGATGCGACAGTGTTGTTTTTTTTTTACTTTGAAAGCTCAAAGAATGACCGAGATGCAAGGTGTGCAGTCCTGCAATTACTGCTCACGGAAGGAGTCGCACTGTAGAGACTGCTCAAGAGAGTCCATCTAGAGGGTGGTTGGCCTACTCTTCCACACTGTGAGGACACGGCTGAATCTCCAGAGATTTAGCTGGACACTTGTCTCACGCTTAAGCTCCTTGGCTTCGTAACGGCACACACGCACTTGTACAGCCCTTTTGTCAAGCCCCTGCTGGATGGAGGGCCTCCCCAGCTGTGCAGTTTGTGGAGGTTATGTGACCATACTTCAGCACGCTGGTCGGAGCGGGTAGGTGAAGGCATGGGGAGGCAGGGGAGCTTCGATGTAGGAGCACAGCACAGCAGTACAGTACAACAGTGTATTTTGCTGCACTGCCACGTGCTGCACATTATGTGCCCCCCACAAATGCAGCTCAACGGAGGCAACAACAACAATCTGCTTGGTGCAAAGTGATCACCATATCGAAGCGGCGTTATCAAGGCTCAAGCCCGCTTAAGCTTCCAAGATCGCAACGGATCGGCGGGCAAATTCCAAGTGGTTCGGTCAAGAGGTTTTCACGACAGTTTGAATTCGTAAATATTTTTCCGGGTGCAAAAAAAAAAGCCTCCCTCGTCCATTCTCATGCTGATCGTGTCGTTTTCATCGCAATTCAAGCGACACAAATTCTTCTCCAACACAATAGTGGGGTAAGGCCGGCAGAGATTTTTTTTGTCAAGAGAGAGAGAAAGTTGTGATGAATACATCATCACAACTTTCTCTCTCGCAATTGAGGCACGGGGCACAATTGCGATGCTGGTGTCTCAAGAGCTACAGACGATTCTTAATAATTTGACAAAAGACGTCATGGAAGATCTTCTCGGATAAAAATGCATTATTTACTATTATTACGATGATTAAATTTAAGTGACCGAAATAAATTTCAGTCAACCGGATGTCGAAAACAGGAAGAGTAAAAACTTCTTCAAACACGACACTGTTATCGTTTTTTTTATCATCAACTAAAATGAGTTCTGACTTAATGAGCACCACATTACAAGCGATGGGACAAAAGGGGGTGTGGGGGGGGATTGCATTGCCTTTCGGTGAACAAACAGCGGCCGCCCGATATAGAGAGAGAGAAAGGCAAACAGCAGGTGTACAAACCTCACACCCCGGCTTGACTGTACTTTTTCCCATCTCCCGTATCAACCGCAGAGTAACACAACCACCACTCCCCCCCCAACACCCAGAACCATCGCAAAGCGCTTTGTCACACAATATTTAATACCTTAGGTGTGTTGCTAGGGAGGACTCGGCGGTGACATCTGCTTAGTCGCAGGCAGCCCGTTGTCTCTTACAGCTGCTGCAACGGGCGGGCAGTTCACCTGCAGGGCAGCAAGGCGAGACAGCGGGTTAGGCGTGATGTGGCTTGACCGCAGGTGTACGGTTGTGGACTCACACGGGTGTGTGCCGTTGTCTCACACAGCTATGTGGTGGCTTCACACAGGTGTGGTGGCTGTGGTGGCTTCACACAGGTGTGGTGGCCTCACACAGGTGTGGTGGCCTCACACAGGTGTGGTGGCCTCACACAGGTGTGGTGGCCTCACACAGGTGTGGTGGCCTCACACAGGTGTGGTGGCTGTGGTGGCCTCACACTGGTGAGGTGTGGTGGGCCTCACACTGGTGTGGTGTGGTGGGCCTCACACTGGTGAGGTGTGGTGGCCTCACACTGGTGAGGTGTGATGGGCCTCACACTGATGAGGTGTGGTGGCCTCACACTGGTGAGGTGTGGTGGCCTCACACTGGTGTGGTGTGGTGGCCTCACACTGGTGAGGTGTGGTGGCCTCACACTGGTGAGGTGTAATGGGCCTCACACTGGTGAGGTGTGATGGGCCTCACACTGGTGAGGTGTGGTGGGCCTCACACTGGTGTGGTGTGGTGGGCCTCACACTGGTGAGGTGTGGTGGCCTCACACTGGTGTGGTGTGATGGGCCTCACACTGGTGAGGTGTGGTGGCCTCACACTGGTGTGGTGTGGTGGCCTCACACTGGTGAGGTGTGGTGGCCTCACACTGGTGTGTTATGACCTCGCACCAACAGCGTAGCAGATGGCTGCAACGCCGCGGGGCACCCGGCCGCATCTATCGGTGACTACGTAGAACCAGCCCATGAGCCAACGTGATTTCACGTTCATACGAGCGGTGGCATCTCCCGTTTACAGCCCTGGCAAAAATTCCACACTTCTTTGATGGGGTCGAGTCAATCCATAGGACAATCACTGTGGTATTTATTTAAACGCCCCGTGGAGGGATGATGGGCCGAGTAAAATCCTCGACCAGGATTCGATCTCCCAACTTTCTGATTGCGAGCCGACCCCTCTACGGCTGAGCTATCCGGCCGATTAAAATTTGCCTAACTCATCGATACGCGACAAACGACGTACAGCGGGCGAACCAAAATCCGGTTGCCCCCTTTCTCAAGGTCGTTTTCCACTCGCAAAAAAGATGGCCAACAACACCTGAGATGGAACACCCCCTGCTTCCGACGCCTCACTGTACTTGTACCTTACAGATTCAGCGCTCAGCGATTCACTCCAGGCACTACCTCACCGGACAGTCAGTAAAGTCCTTAAATCGGACAAAAGCCGTGTGGAGTGCTGCCCTAAATCTGAACAATTAAAAGCAACGTGTGCCTTCAAGGGAGCCTACATATGAAGCCATGAATCGTATTTAGCTTTTAATAAACATCCACATATATCTTAATGACGTTAGCTTATAATGCACACACGTCCAACCAAATTCATAAACACAGGTTATGTGTGTTGTGACAGCTGTCACGACGGTGTCCTACTCGGCAAAACGACGCCAACAAAACCAGGTTGAATGGGTTTTTTTTTATTCGTAAAGTATTCAGGCCAGGGGCAAAACCCAACCATACCAGACAGAAGCCGGCGACTTACTGTATGTACGTAAACGAACAACACACAGGTACACATGAACACAGATAATAATGGGAAGCGTTCGGCTCGTAATGCCGGATACGCTGTGTGTGCGTCCTCTTTGATTAACTATTTTAAGATGTAACTGGTTCTTGCCAACGATCAGGCGATTGTCTATCTCTCTATCGCTTCCGATCTTATAATCCAAATCTCAGTAGCGTCTCCCCACCCACACCAATGCCCCCCGCCTGTTTCCACCTGTTCTCTGGCCGGGTTTGCAGGAGGATCCTGCCAATGTTTCGCAGCAGGAGGCAACGTTGTTGCTCTGTGCGATCCCAATTGGGCAAACTTTGCGGGATATTTTTCAGCATTGGGATGCTTGGCCAATAGCAGTTACATTGGGTTTTGTTGATTAGCCTTGGGAGAAAACTGCAGAACCCGGAGGAAACCCACGCAGAACAGGGAGGGTAAGAACAAACCAAAACTCGGAAAGGAGCACGATTCAGAAATCGAACCCAGGCCCTTAAGATTGTTACCACCGTAGTACCAAAACGCCAGATATGCAGCATTCTCTTTGATGGACTTTTAAGAACTGCATAATATGCATGCGTAATGTGCATACGTGAATAACCAACAAATTATAGATATCCATTGTAATTTATATGAACACGTTAACACCCCCCCCCCCTCTGGTCCTCGCACCTGATTGGCTCACAAGTCACGACATCACATCTATCCCTCTATTTAAGACGGAAACAGGAGGAGGATTTCTCCATAACTCTGGCTGTCGCCTGATGAGGCTGGTTGTAATTACCAGTGAAATTTCGTACTCAAATCGAAAATGTTGTGGGTTTACTCTCCAACGCACCCGTGTGCTCAACTAGGAACGAATTGGCACGTTTTGTTTACGTGACAAACATTACTAATTGACTGTGTCTATTATGGACACGTGGCAATCTCTACAGCCCTTCTAACCTCAAAATCCAAATCTCTCTACAGCCTCCTCCTCCACCCACACACCTATGCTTCCACTTTTCTCCACCTGATCTCCGGGTCACTTTGTTCGTTCATTTGAGACATTTCCAATGGTCCCCAAAATCTCTTTGCACGCAAAATGTAAGATAAAACTGTTTGTTGTCCTTCCCCCGCACCTCCGATTAGCACAGTGGGCTACACACGGCGCAAAAGAAGCTCAACATGCACGCATACGTAAATGTATCGCGTTTGAGTCCCTGACTCTCACGTCGCTATAAACCGAACGACAGCCCAAGTGTAACAACAACGCGGGGGTTTTTATCGATTTACGCAACGGGTTCACGTCACTCCTGCAGGCACGGAGAGGCGGCGCTACATTCACCGCTGTAAACAAATATTAAGTTGCCACCCAACTCACGGAGAGACAATCGCGAATCTACACCCGGCGGCTTAACGAGAGGGTTGGGGGGGTGGGGGGGCGAAAGGGAATGACACCCGCCGAAACAAGGTCCACATAAGCTGGGCCCAAAAAAAGCTAAGGACACAAATACCACGCAAACTAACGTTAAAAGACCTAAACGGGTCCCCCAACCGCGGTGGGGCGAACGCGTGTCACGCAACGCGGGGAAACGCGGAGTGGAAGGTGGCAGCGGCATTCACGCGGCCCACCCTGCGAAGTGAAACATCACGACGAATGCCATCAACGCGGCGACCGGAACACCGATCATCGATCTCCCAAGTCTCCGGAGCAGAAAAAAAAGAAACGTAACGGAGCGAACGTGTGACACAAAAACGCAAGTCTAAACTAACACGTGAACGCAGCCTAACAAATCGCTAACCCGCACCCCCCCCCCCCACGTCCCCTCCAGTAATTCCAACGACTTGCGGTTCCGCAATTCCAGTTCGTGTCTCGTTTGCGTGCTCGATTTTTTTTTCGCTACTACGGTTTTGCACCAACGCTGCGTTCGCGTTGACGCAACATGGGCGCACCGTTTGCGTGCGATTTTTGCACGAACGGCAAACGTGATTTTACGTGCGTGAGATCTCGCACAACAAAGAGCTTAGACATCGGTTGAGGTCAATGAATCCAATACGTTGTGGCACGCCTATAACAACCCAAAATGGCAATGTGTGATAAATACATTTAAATGCCACATGCATTTTCCTGGCATTTCAATCTATTGTAAAAGCACCGCCGTTCCGTGTGTCCGTCAACTAAATGACGAGAGCCTTTCAGAAGGCCTGAATCAAAAAGTTATGGAAAGTTGACCCCGCCCCCCCCCCCGCCCCCCCCCACCCCCCCGATGGGGGGGCAAAAAGTTGATCCAACAGGTTTACAACAATTGTAGCCCGCCGCCCTCCCCCCCCCCAAAAAAAAAAGATATGCCAGTCCCTGCCTGCACACGCTAGATACAATAGTCAGCAGTATCTGCACACATGGGTGGGGGGGGGGGAAGAAGACATCAGCGCGGGCGAGCCGTGAAGCTCTGCGCAGCCGTCGAAATTTTAGTGTGAAAAAATGTGACTATGAATTCGCCTTGATCAATTAGCATCGTGACTGTTATAGCCAACCCTAATTAGTACCCAGCACTGATAAGGCCCTAATTTGCGCTCAAATTACCTCCCACCGTGACCAACGCAGTGTCCCCCTGCTGTACCACGTTGGCCATCTCTCAACGGCACTCCTCCGAGCCACGCACTTCGCCGTTAAACTTCTCACCTCCGCCCCTTCGTGCGAACGCAACGATTCCCAGTGCCCAACATCCTTGTTGGCATCCACTGCAACTACGTTGGGGAGCGGTGGCGCGATGATTAGTGTGGTGCGCTGTGAACTTAGCAATCCGAGATCGAATTCCGACCACGGCTAACATCAGTGGCGAGTGATATCGGAAACCAGTTCACCGGTCCCCTTCCTTCACGAACCCCAGCGATGACCAGAGTGGTGAAGTGTGGTCAAACAATGCGTGACTGATATGGCATATTGGGAGGCCGTCATTGACAATTATTCTTATTTTAAATGCAATTACAAAAAGGCCCTTGCAGAATTCAACCGACATGCAACAATGTATCGACATGTCAATCAAAATCGATTATTACAACAAAGTGAGCTCCGTATGGGTTAATTTCGACTCGTAAAAGTAATTGGCTCATGTGATCCCTGCAGCCCACTCGAGGCACTACACTCAGCACTGTCAATTAAAAGAATATTCTGGAATCAAATTCCGATCCAACAAAGTGACTTGACAATTCATAAAATTGCAATGGGTTAGACGCGAATCAATACACGACAAATGGACAATGTCGTAACCCGGCAATTCATCAACAGGAATGTATTCTTATGCACGCGAATATGGGCATCAAAGCACAGACGTAAGAATCTACAAACCATGTAAATTATCGTCACAGGTTGCGCTAACGTTACATTTAAGAGTGGACAAAACCGTACACACAAAGCGGAGAACAATGATCCTGC